TACTAGCTAGTCTTTATTGTGTATATATACTTGGTCTTTACTGGGTACTACTTTAACTGGTCCTTATTGTGTATATAAACCTGATCTTTACTAGGTACTACTGTAACTAGTCTTTATTGTATATATATACTTGGTATTTACTGGGTACTAACTGACCCTTATTGTGTATATATACTTGGTCTTTACTGAGTACTACTTTAACTGGCCCTTGTTTTGTATATATACCTGATCTTTACTAGGTACTACTGTAACTAGTCTTTATTGTGTAAATATACCTGATCTTTACTGGGTACTACTATAACTAGTTTTTATTGTATATATACTTGGCATTTACTGGTTACTAACTGGCCCTTATTGTGTATATATACTTGGTCTTTACTTGGTATTACTTTAACTGGCCCTTATTGTGTAGATATACTTGGTCTTAACTGGGTACTATTTTAACTGGTCCTTATTGTATATATACCTATAAACAATAAGGTCTATAYTGAGTATAAATTGGGTACTAGCTGGCCCTTATTGTGTATATATACCTGACCTTTACTGGGTACTACTGTAACTAGACTTTATTGTATATATATATATATTTGGTCTTTACTGGGTACTACTTTAACTGGCCCTTATTGTGTATATATACCTGATCTTTACTGGGTACTACTTTAACTGGTCTATATTGAGTATAAATTGGGTACTAGCTGGCCCTTATTGTGTAAGCTATTGGGTACATATCAGGTCTTTGCTTTCTGGGTATACGTTCTTGTCATGCCTGAAGGTTTTTTTTTCTTCCTAACAAATCTATCTTTCTGTCAGTAGATTTTATTTTCAGTTAAGGATGGTTTTTTGTTGTTTTGTTTATTTTCGCTCTGTTTGCTGAAATGACTTTTGCTTGAGAGGCATTTATTCATCGATCTCTGGAGAAAGAAGAGCAAACTGTAGAAGATGCAGCAGACTTTGTCTTATTCACGAGGCTGTTGTGAATGATAATGTAATCATTGCGTTGCTTTATATGCAGCTCTGCATGCAGCTCACCTTCCATACAGGGACTGTGAGTTCATGGAGGGTAATTTTTTATCATATATCTTAAATAATGCAGCGAAGAAGCAAATGATTAACAAAACTTTATGTCGAACCGAACCCAAACTCGATGCAACACGTAAAGTGGTTAAATTAAAATGAACAAACATGATTATTGTTAATTACTGCTCTGTCCTTCTTCTTTTTATTTTTTTTCCAAGATGCTTCTTATGCAACACTCAGTTTAAGTCATTTTTATTAGCAACAGCAGAAAGATGAAAGTGCAAGGTAGGCAAAAATCTTTGGTGCATATAACGCCAAACCAGGAGGTCATACTTCATTTCAACATTAACAGCWTGTAAAGCTCCTTAAGTGCTTCACAGCAAACTGAGTCTGAACTAACTGGCCRTTTTAAAGTTTCAATCTGCAGGGATTAAATCAGGACAATCTGAAGGTCTCACCTGTCCTTCCTTCTGTAGGGACCGACAGCTCCAGGACACAGATCACAAGCACCATAACAAATAGAGCCCCTTTGCTTCTGATCTGGACGTACCGCTCACTCATCCTGCAAGAGAGCAGAAAGCATCATCAGAACCAGAATAAAACTTAATTAGTCACAATCAAAAGTAGGGACAAGAAATGTTTTACGCTATTTTTTTTTAACTTAAACCAACAATTCAGACATTTTCAAGTAAGTTTTTATACAATGATTATTGGTGTTTACCAGTGGACTGCAAAAATAGTGACAAATTTTATCCAAATGAAACATGGCCAGGTCTAAAACCAACCAACCGTCCAGTCAGTGGGGACCTCCACTCAGATGTTTTTAGAACACAAATCACATGACTACGTCTGCTCAGAACCCGTGTGCGAAACTGGTAGCAGCTCCGTTGGTTTCAATTCCAGTGTGCCGGTTTAGCTGTTTAAACTTTAAAGAAATTCACGAAAACAGCATCAAACTCCACCGGGAGGACAGTGACTCAGGATACAGCCATCATGGAAGGAGTGTTTTTTTTATCATTTTCCCAAGCTAAGATGCTAGTCTAACAGCTCGATTCCACCAATGGGACGTGCAAAGTTTGACCAAAAAAAGTGCAACCAAGGACTTACATCTGCACCAAACATTTTTATCAGAGGTAAAAGACAAATACTGAACCACCTGGGCTCTATCCCTGCACTTTCTGTTGATAAACATACAGTAAACCTTGTTTTTACTGTAGCCTACTGCTAGCTTTACTCCTAGCATCCATCCTAACCCTCATACAGCYATCTACTGCAGTCAGTCACACGTATGGTGATAATATTATRCTTACACAAATTTTACACACCATTAAGTTTCCTTAACCGATGCAGAAGTGGTGACTCCAGAGATTTAAAAATTAAACACAATAGATACATCAAGCTAATCTAGAAGACACCAGAAGAAACACCAATCTGTTACAATTCATCTCACTTTCCAAGTCTGTCAAAGACGTCGACCCTCAACATTTCAACTAAACTTTCCTGTGATTCACAAAGTCCAATGTGTCAGAATTTGCTCTAGGAACGTCTTTTTCTCATGATATTGCCACTAAATCTCCATAGAATCCATGCTTATTGTACGATCATTTGATAGAGCAGTGGTATATAAATGATATGAATGATGTCATGAGTGGAGATCACCATTTAAAACTTACAAAACAAACAATAAAACCTTAGAAGATCAATCTGAAAACAGTGGAGAGAAGCTCAAACCAGAGTTAGTCGTAGAAAATCYCGTAAATAACCATGAAAAAGCACATTTCTGAACTCTTATCCTTCCTCCTGCATATCTTTTAAAACAAACGGCTGTAAATGTACCGTGTAAGCTCCAAACCCTCACAATAAATTCTCTGGTCTTTACGGAGAGAACGGCTCTGCTTCTCACTTCCACGTGCTTAAATAAACTTCACCGGGCCCCACGGAGCAGAGCCGGCTCTCCGGCTGTGGCTGATTCATCTCCTCCCCGTCGCTCCGTAATGAAGTGTGCTGCAGCTGAGGCTGCGCTGCATAAACCATCTGGCATGTCGTGTTGCTGCTGACAGACAGCTATCGGGTTTCCAACGAGGATGCCGGAGCGGTGCGGTGATTACCGGAATGGCGTGATATCATATGGCGGGAGCGTACAGTGTTACAAGCTGCGTTTATGCCTTATTTACCACCTCCCGCCTTTCATGGGCCCGCTCCATTGACGTATAGATTAGACCAAACCTCATCGGGGAGCTCAGATTATTGTGTAATTAAGTTTATTTTGCGCCAGACAAACATGACCTTTTGTGAAGGTTTTTCTTTACCTTCCGGTATCACGGAGGATTTATAACCGACTGATGCCAAAACAGAGACAACGGGGCAGGTTTAATGTGAAATTATAAAAAGATCTCTCACAAAGAACGCAGGTACTGAAGCTGCTCTGTACAGAAACAGTTTATTTTTAAGAGCTGTGCAGGATCACTGTTGCCTAGCAAAAGGAAAGTCTGATTTAAATCTTCGGAGGCCTCTTAAGTTTGTGGTGTTTTATACTTCAGCTCTCGTGCATTTCTCCTTTATCAGGCTAAAAACACAAGCTAGAAGAAACAGACGGTACCTGAGTGAATCAAGACATTCCATCTCATTTTTTTTATATTTCAACTTCCTTTATCATAACTTTAACATCCAGGTTTTAGGAGGATGAGTAACCTTTTTAATCTCAATATATTTCAGGAAAGATTAAATTGAATTTATTGTTTCTCACATACAACCCTAATTATATAAAAGCGGGAACATTGTGTAAAAATTTAATGCACTAATTAACAAATCTCATCAACCTGTATTTTTTTTTTTTACTATTTTCTTTAGGAAAAAAGACAAATTTCAATTTAATGGCAGCAACACAGCTGAAAAAGGGGCAACAAAAGACTATAAAAGACATTGGTATTAACCTCTTCAGCCCCAGGGGGTTTCCTTGAAGTTTGTGCTCGAATGTCCCGAAATGTTACTGAGTGTCTCTGCATTTACAAACATTATTAAAATAAAATACCTCACCTGTTTTTTTCCTCACCTGACCTTTTTTTGCATTAAACAGTATATACAGTAACCCCTTTAAAAACATATTGTAATGCTAAAAACTCTTGTAAACCATAAATAAACGTGTGGACATGCTGCTGAAATAAACTCTAACAAAGTTAGAGAGGTTTCAGTAAAGAAATAATTTGTCATTTTGTCATTCTGCACAGGATGGACMATGTTGGTTCCATCAATAAACCTCAAGCTTTTAATTGCAAAAGTTAATTGTTTAAAAATGAAACCTGAAAAAACGAAACCAAATTTATTTTTCACCCTACTCACATAAAATAATGAGAAATTATTACTCTTGACTCTACCTGGAGAAGATTCACTCAAAAGTAAAAAAAAGAAGACTTTACAACAAATTGTGGTATTTGCTTTGACTTGCACTTCTAAAGATTTATATATTTGCATTGAGGCCATTTTGTTAACTTTCTGATTCAGCTGTTTGGGTGTAGAAATGTTTTTGTGTGGATACCAAACATGTCTGTGTTTAAACAACAGCATTCAAGTTAACAGGAATAGGAAAACAGGAAGTATTTCAGCCCCTGGTACCGGGGGAGTCAGGCTCTAAAGTATTTTACAAAAACTGAATCTCTCAGGAGTAAAGGCGGTCAGGGTTCACCCGTGAAAAACTGCATCTAAAAACAGTGAAAACACTTCTCAATAATGTTCCCCTAAGATTTGAATAATTCGTCAAATCATAAAGTCCATACCAGAGAGGAGAGAGACCATCAACCAGTTATCAGGCCTCAGTTTAAAACCCTGCCTCGCTGATGGTATTGGGGGTGCATCAGTGCCTCTGGTATGGCTGGAAAGGCTCCATTATAAACAGGTTTTAGAACAGCACACGCTCCCTTCCAGACAGTTTTTAGGGAAGGCTTTTCATATTTCTGCAAAACAATGTCAAACACCRAACTGCAGCCGCTACAACAGAATGACTAAACGAACTGTCAGCCTGTAGTGCAGACCTCAACAGAAAACATTTCATGCATCATGAAACAGAGAAAGTCTGATTCTCATCAGTTGAGACTAACAAYGTTCACTTTTGCTCACTTAAAAAAAGTCCATCTGTAAACTGAAGGCATCAGGAGGGATGTGTGGAAGAAAACCGACCCAAATGTTGAGTAATTAGTGAGGTTTCAGTTTTTTTCTCCAGTGGCCTTCAAACTATAAACCTATTATCTGTCTGCTGCTCTTTTATGTCCACAGGAACAGATCTGACGTCTCTGTTTGGACCTGGTGACCCGTATACGTCTTTTTATGTAATTCACACCGATGAGTATGTGTGAGCAACAGTCATCAGAGCGTTACAGCATCATTCGTTGGCGGCGGTTCCGTAAACGGCATCCCTGAATGTGCCGTGTCGTCAGCGTTTGTTACACTTTGAGTTTGTTTTCAGCCTTGGCTCAGAGTTTTTTTAAAATGTCTTTGAACGTGATGGAACRTGACGATGTACCGGTTCACCATTAGTCTGCTTGTGTTTGACACTTGTGGACTCTCCGGTCTGCGTGGTTTGGTGTTTTTGGATCTGGAGAAGGTTTAAGACCGTGTTTCCGAGCAGCTGCAGTAAACATAGGGAGGTTCATGGGTGTGGGCGTAGCTCGAGAAAACCATGATTGGTCGGATTGACGTGTGTTAAACACAGGYGTTTTCAGGAAAAATGAACAATTTATGCCAAAAAGAGACGCAAAACGTGTAGTAACTTTCAAAATAAGAGCTTAAACTTTAATAACTCCTGAGAAGCAACCTGCCAATGGAAGGAAAAACCACAAGGAAAGCTAAAATGTCCATGCGTTTAACAAATTACTATGTTATGTTTTATCARTAAGAAATTTTATTACATTAAACAAACTCTTTTACACTACATTAATTTTATTTTGAAATGAACATGCTACATTTAGCTTTGGCAACTTAATGTAGATTCCATCAAATATYAGGCATCCTTTTCCTAAGATATTTATGTAATTATTTAGCTTTTACAACGTAAACTGATGCCTGATCATTGAAATGTCTCTCACAGACACACACCAACAAAAATACTAATGATTTATTCAAGCTAACRTTAGCTACACAGCTAGCCTAACTGAGCAGTTGTGTTTTTGTCACTTGTTGGCAGGGTAAAGTGCCTGTGACATGCCTATCATTCAAATATAAAAAGTCAAAGAAAATATCTTCATATTTAGGAAAACTGGCCAAAAACACACGACTTACTGGCATATTTTCTTTTGAATTTGGCTCAGCTGAAGTGAAACAGGAAATGACATCATAGAGGAACTCTTTAAGAAAGAAAACTCCCTGGTCTTTGTTTATGAAAACAATATTTTAAACTCCGACGTTTCTTCATTTCTCTCTTATAGGGTCTAAAACTGTCTAAAGAAACATCAGAAGATCCCCTGCTGTCTGTGTTGTTAGCCGTTGTAGCAACTCTCTGTTTACATGCAGACATTCCCCTTTGACATCATTTCCTGTTACTTCACATGCAAATATCTCAACAACTGTTCA